CGGTCAATGGGCTCTCGGGGGACAGACGGCCTTTCTCGAGTGTGCTTGGAGGAGAAACTGTACGAATGAAGTGAGCCAATAAACTTACATGCCCCAGATCCTGGGGGAGTAAAGTCATCCATGGAAATGCCACTCTTATCGGCCACGCCCCCACCGGTGGAGGAGGGGGTGTTCTCATCACCAGCATCTACAGCAGACACTTCCGCTTCTGCCTGGCTGCCTACTGCCGTGGTGGCCGGTCCGTCTCCTGGAGTTCTTTCCAGAGACTGCTGTGCCTGCTCCTGGCAGGCAGCCTCCCGGGAAGCCCTGGGTGCGGTTTCACCCTGCAGAGCAGCTCGCTTCAACTTGCGGGACTCCGGCTTGGCCATCGGGTTTTCACTTGAGGATGATGACCAACCTGCAGCCACTTTACCAGCTGCTGTGCTCGAGTGGCCCCTCACACCCCCCGTGGTCTTGCTGGTGTCCTTTCTCCTGGTGCGGCCATGGCCTCCAGCCCCCCTCTTCTTCTCAGTCAGGTGGAAGATGGACGGCACAGCCGTGGGCTTGAGCAGTCGGTGCTGGTCCTCCAGCCTCTTGGAGAAGCTGTCTTTGGTGAAATGCTCACTGCAGAGGAATGAGTACTTCGTGGGGGTCCAGTTATCCCTTTGAACAGCTTTTAACCACTGGATTAACCGTTTTGAATCCTTTAGGGGGAATCTGAAGGACAAACAACGAAGTAATTAGAAACCAGTTTCCCACTAGAATTATCAACTATAAAAGCAAAACAAAGCTTTGTAAACACCCAAAGCTATACTGACTTCATCTGCTTAAAAAATACTTTAATAAAGATTTAAGAAACACCCACTTTTAAGTTATTATTGGAATAGAAAGATGAAAGACTCACTGTCTACCCTTAAGGAGTTCACAGTCTGTGGGACAGACAGAAAAGAAGGCAAGTAACTCCCCCCAGGTGGTTGTAAATGCCCCACAAGGATACAGGATGCTTACAGATAGCCAGGATGGCATCAGGATAGCAGGAAGTAATTCCTAGAAGCTAGTAGCTGACCAACCCTTCCAATGTGCCTGGAGGGCAGGACTTGGGGCACTAAAACCAGGATGGTTGAGGGCCCTCCTAAGAAGCCAGCCAGGCTGGTGTCAGCCCACAGAGATGGGAGCAAGAGGCCAGGAGAGCACCTCAGATAGCTGGCATGAGGACAGCACCAGCCATGGCTGAAGCAGCTGAGGATGTGGCAACAGGCTCTGGAAGGTAAGATTCAAAAGCTGTAGTTCTGTGTACCTGCTATACTTCCACAACTAGAAGTAAAACTGCTCCCTTTAAAGTCAACCAGCCAGATGAACCTTGAGGACATTGTGCTGAGTGGAACAAGCCAGTCACTGTGCTTCCCTCATGAGGTTCCTGGGGTACTGAAATTCATGGAGACAGAAAGTAGGCGGTGGGTGCCAGGGGCTGGGGAGAGAGTGCTATGGGGAACTGGTGTGGTAACGAGATTCTGCTTTACAAGATGAAAAGAATTCTGGAGATGGTGGCGGTGATGGTTGCAAAACAATGTGCCCCTGAATTGTGCACTTAATAATTATTAGGACAGGCCGGGCTCGGTGGCTCATGCCTGTAATCCTAGCACTCTGGGAGGCTGAGGCGGGCGGATTGCTCAAGGTAAGGAGTTCGAAACCACCCTGAGCAAGAGCGAGATCCCATCTCTACCATAAACAGAAAGAAATTAATTGGCCAACTAATATATAGAGAAAAAATTAGCCAGGCATGGTGGCACATGCCTGTAGTCCCAGCTACTCCAGGAGGTTGAGGCAGGAGGATCGCATGAGCCCAGGAGTTTGAGGTTGCTGTTAGCTAGGCTGACACCATGGCACTCACTCTAGCCTGGACAACAAAACGAGATTCTGTCTCAAAAAAAAAAAAAATTGTTAGGACAGTAAATTTTATGTTACATGTATTTACCATAAGAAAAAAATTTTGGGGGAAAAAAGCAACCAGTACTGGAAGATACTGAATAAGATATTTAACTATTTCTTCTTTATTATTCAATAAGGATACTTGGTAACCATTTCTTCATTGAGGCAACATCTGTATTTCAGAAAACAGACCTGGCCAGACACAATGGCTCTCACCTGCAATCCCAGCACTCAGGGAGGCAGAGACAGGAGGACTGCTTGAGGCCAGGAGTTCAAGACCAGCCTGAGCAACCCAGTCTCTTAAAAAACAACAACAAAACTAGCTGGGAATGGTGGTGCGGGCCTGTAGTCCTAGCAGGAGGCGGCTGAAGTGGGAGGACCGCGTGAGTTCCAGGTTACAGTGAGCTATGATTGGGCCACTGCACTCCAGCCCAGCCAACAGTGAGACCGTCTCTAACCAAAAAAACAAAAACAAACAAACAAACAAAACCCCCAAAATGCACATGATGCTCAGGATGAGGGGTGGGGCCAGTCCTTCCTCACTGCTATTTGCTGCACCTGAGGTCCTGTATCCCACCAGAGGCCGCTGTGGACCAGGACCAGGACAAATCCTAGGAAGTTCTAGGCAACATGACCTTCTAACCTCCTTTCTGAACCTTTTGTGAGCGGATTCCAAAGACCCCCCACCCCGGCCCAGTTCGGCGTCCTCTGCCCCCCATCCCACGTTAGACCACGGCAGTGCTCTGCCTCCTGTCCAGGGGCAGTCGCAGACCTCGTGGGACACAGGCTCCAGAGGAAGCTGTCAGGAAGGCACGCCGGCCGATGCTGGAACAACCTGAAGTTGCCAGCTCTGATAGACCGCGGCGACTCAAGGCAGGGAAGCCACCGGGAACTTTCGGCACCACTGTAAACAGCACGTGCCATCCCGTCTTTAAAACTTACAAGCCGCCTGGCGGCACAGAGCGGAGCTCCGTCGGAGGGGCTTGCTCTCCAAGCGGAGTTCCTGCGGGCCGCCGTTCGGGACGCTCCGCGTGCGGGGCCCAGACGCGGGCTCGGGGGTCGCGGCGTGCGCAGGCCCGCGGGGAGCCGGCCCGGCGCGGCGGGACGCGCGGCCCGCGGCTTCTCCCGCTCGGCGCGGGCCGGGTCGCGGACCCCGCGCCGGTCCCGGCGGGCCTGCGACCCAGGAAGTGCGGCGGCCGCGCGCGCCGGGCGCGCAGCCGGGGAGCCGGCGCCGGCCGCCGGGAGCAGCGAGTGCCGAGCCGCCGCTTCTGGGCCGCCGCGGCGCCCACACCACCGCGCGCGCGGACGCGGGCCGGGCGGGCGGCGGACACAGCCGGGGCAGAGGGCCCGGTGGCGCGCCGCCGAGGCGCCCGGCCCAGAGACGCCGGCCCGGGCCAAGGTCACACAGCGCCCGCGCCCACCGCCCGCGCCGACTCACTCGCGGCGCCCGAGCGGCCGAGGCCCGGCGCCAGCGCACCCCCAGCGCCCCGGCGGCCCGCGCGGCCTCAGTTTCCCCGCGGGGCCGGGCCGGCGGGCTGGCGGCCGGGCGGCGGCGCTCGCGTACCTGTGGAAGGAGACGGCGCGCTTCTCGCCCTTGCCCTGGCGGTTGGAGCAGTTCACGGCCGCGCAGCAGATCACCATCGCGGGCTTCGGCCCAGCCGCGCCGCCAGGCTCCGGCCCTCGCCGCCCGCCCGCCCGCGGACCGCCCCGAGGGAGGGAGCGCGGCGGCGACACGGCTCGGGACGTGGGCCGGCCGCGGCGTCGCGCCGTACGGCAAGATGCGGCGCGGGCGCTCGCCGCGGCCCGCCCCGCCTCGCCCGCGCCCGCGCCCGCGCGCGCTCCGGCGTCCCGCGACCAGCGGGCGCAGCCGGCCCCTCGAAGCGTCGGCAGGCGACCGGCGGCTGGCGAGGGAGCCGCCCTGGCGCGGGAAGTCCGTACGGCGACATGGGCGCGCCGGGGCCCATCCGTACGGCAAGATGGCCGCGCCAGCGGGCACGGAGCTGGCCTCCGCCGCATCGATGACGCTCCTGCGTCCTCTGAGTGAAGGGAGCGCTGCACGTGGCAAGAGCAGTATCCCGTCGGGCAGCAGAGCGAGCCGCCGGCCCACGAGACGTCCCCAGACAGCCCGCCCGGCGGCCCAGGGTGCTGCGGCGGCCCGGCCGTACGCCAAGATGGCGGCGCCCCCGCGCATTCCGCCCTGCGCCGGATGCTCGCCGGCGCCCGCGTCCCGATTGGCCCCCGTGGCGTCCGGTCGCCGCGTCGCGCTGCGGGCCGGTCGGAGCGACGCCGCTCGGGTCAGTCGGCGGCCGGACGGGGAAGATGGACGCAGGTGAGGAGCTGCCTGGGCCGAGCCCTCTGCGGGAGGCGCTGGCCGCGCCCTCGGCCCGGCCTGGCCTGCCCGGGCCCGGGCCCGCGTGACGTGCTGTGGGGCGCGCAGGGGCGGGCCGGGCTCGGCGGTGCGGGGGCGCGGGCGGCGTTTGCGGCGGGTGGGCGCGGGAAGGGGACCCCGGCGACTGGCCGCGCCTCTCGGCCGCGCACCTGACAGCCTGTCACTCTGGAGCTGCTGGGGCCCGCCCGCCCCGGCGTGAGCGCCCGGGGTTCCGGGCTTGGCAGGCCCGAGCGCTGGCCTGGCGTGGCGGGCGGGGGCCTGCTGGGCCGGGGAGAGGCGCGGCGGCCGCCCGAGCGCGCAGGGAGGGCTGCAGCAGTGCGGGGTGCGGACGCTCCGGTCGGCCCCAGCTTGGCCTTCCCGACTGGAGTGGAGGAGCGGAAACTTAACTTTTACGAAGTTATTGGTAGGCTGGAGGCGAGAAACGTGTTTCAGTAACCACAGCGTCCAAGAGTCTTTTTTCTGTGATGGGAAAGAGAAACAGCGAATCCAGCTCATCACGTCTAATTTCCTGAAGTCCTAATAGAAAGTGGAGGTGGGGCGCGCGTGTTGATGTTTCTGCCGGTCCTATCGTGCTTCTGCCCAACCCAGCAGGAGACAATTTTTTGCTGCCAAGATATTTTGGAGACTTAAGTCGGTACCAAACCCATCATTTGCCCAGTAGCCCCAGGTACATTTTCACTCAGCAGTATTAGTTCTTTCATTACTTGTAGAAACCGATTTGCCGTCCTTCAACCGTCCCCATCTGTGAAGGAAGACTTTCATCTGGTTTAATTCTACCTGTCGTCTTGAATGGTATTGTTTTTGCTCTTTCTTTTCCTGGCAGCTGCAACACAAATTTATTAAGACCTTAGTTTGGAAAGTATAATGTGTATAGGCAATGTTTATTTCAATGATTTGTGGCATCTCATCACTTAAATGTGTTAGGTGGCTGGTGGAAGCAGGAGCCCCGACTACCCAAGGAGCCATGTTGACAGATGTATATTCTGTGAAGTTTTTTAGAGTAAATACTAGACACTGTTGTACTACTTGCAACTATGTACTGTTTGTTGTATACTATTTTAAAACTATTTGCTGTACTATTTCTTTTTAGGTATTGTTGTTTGGATATATAAGTCTATTCATACGGGAGACTTGGTTAAGGTGAGAACAGTTTGATATTGGTCGTTGTCTTAAATCTGAAAACCATTATGTTCAAGTTAGGAATACAGTTGTGTAGTTACATGATGATACTGAATAGGAAATACTGCTACTTGTGGGATCAAAGTAGGAAAGGTTTTTGCATTTGAAGGCCTATTTATGCTCATAAAAACATGATGTTTTTAGGGTATGGTAGGGAGTTTTCCATCTGACATGATGCTGTACATCCTTTCAGGAATGGTTAATGGTCCACTCTCCTCTGATCCCTAGAGTCCTTGAAAATTCTGCCTGCCTTGAGCATGTATAATATAGCTTCTGTTTGTTGTTACAGTCGTTCGCTCAATAAACTATTTGTTATTGTGTGCCAGGTATGTGCTAGCCATTGTTCCCTAGGACTAGAAGAATGAACAAATAGAAACCACTGCCCTGGGCTAGCTGACACGCTAGACATGAGACCAGCAGAAGGCAGCAAGGTGTGTGGCTCCTGTGGGAGAGTGATGTGGGCCAAGCAGGAGGGACATTAGAATTGTGGACAGGATGGCCAGGAAAGGGCACCTCAAAGGTTAAGTTCTGACCAAGACCCCAAGCAGTGTAGAAGGTAGGGCAAGTGGCTGATCTAGGAGTACAGGAGACTGGTGGGGCTGGGGGTGCAGTGGCAGTTAAGAGAAGCAGGGGCTGAGAGTGGAGAGGTGACGTAGGCCCGACTATGAGGCCTTGCTAGGTCACAGTGAGGACTTACATGTTTATTCTGAGTAGGATGGTGTCCCTCTGGAAGGTTTTGAGAGGAGTAACATGATCAGATTTATGTTTAACAGAATTGCTCTGGCATCTCTGTGGAGACTATACTGGGGCAAGGGCAGAAGCAAGGAGACCAGTTAGGAGGCTGCTGCAGTAAGCCAGGCCATGAGATGGGGGAGGCTTGGCTCAGGGAGTGGAGAAGAGATTGATTTCTGGGTGTGTTTTGAAGGCTGAGATGATAGGATTTTTTTATAGATTGGAAGTTGGGAGTGGAATGTATAGAGAGGGAGAAATAAAAGATGGCACCATGGTTCACCGCCTGAGCTAAGATGAGGAAGGCTTGGGGAGGTCCTGCCTGATGGGGAGCTCTGTGTTGGGAGTTTGATTTGTATGTGTTAAGTGTGTGGTGCCTGTTGGACGTCCTTGTAGCCACGTCCAGAGGGCTTTTGGATCTACAGGTTTGGAGCTAAGGGAATAGGCCTGGGCTGGAGGTGTGTGGGAGGCCTCCTCAGATGACGCCATTCAGGTCTGAATGTGGGTAGAAAAGAGAAGAGGCCAGGGAGGGAGCCCAGGGCCGCTGGTGTGGAGAGGTCCAGAAGGCAGCAGGCAGACCACAGCATGGTTGTGTTCCCCAGCAGTCCCCTCGGCACTGTCCTTAAAGTCTCTCCTGTTCAAAGAACAGGTAGTTCCCAGCACTTAAATAGCCATGCTGTGCACCCTGGAGGACATGGCTGGCACGTGCAGATGTACATATGTATGTACGTATGTGTGTACGGATTGATCGAGAGAGAGAGAGAGAGAGAGAGAGAGAGAGAGAGAGAGAGAGAGAGAGAGAGAGAAAAGAGAGGGAGGCGCTCTTGGTCTGTCTACAGGCTCAAGCACAGTGGCTCAATCATAGCTCATTGCAGCCTTGAACTCCTGGCAGAACCAGTATCTTATGCTTGTACCTCCAGTTTGTCATATTGTGTCTGGCATGTGGTTTGTAATTGAAAAAGCAGGACTTGAATTAATGATAACTTACACATCCCTACACTGTAAGAATTTCAGTTTATAAAGTTTAATGTGAATCCAGTCTGTCAGCGTAACGTGAGTCAGTGGAAAGGCTTACCACAGGGCGTGGGCTTGCACATGGACGTTCTGCCCAGCGTGCTCTCAGACGGTGCTTTCTCGTGCTCTGATACAGCTTAATTTGGGGCCCTTCCCTCCCTCTCCCCTTTCTTCCTTCCATCCCCACCAGCATCTTCATATGGACTCTTAAGGATTTTTAAAAAATAACTACATGCAAACTGTTACCTTAAACATAAGAATTTTCTAAAGGAGAGGGAGAAGCCTTTGTTGAATTTATTTATAAAGTATAATCTTTTGGAAAACAACTTACAAGTGTTTTAGGAACATACCTTCAAAATGAGGTACATTATAGAAAGCCCTAAAAGAAAGCCCTAATCTATAGAAAGCCCTAAAAGAAATGCATATTTTTGTGGTTCTCCCCTTTCGAATGAAGTGCAATTGGTACTAAGTAGAGAGAAGTTGGTTAAATTCATTGAGCACAATTCCCTATTTTTCTACCTGTCAGATTAATACTATTAAATTATAATACTTTTTTCTAGTGAAATTACCATATTATTAAAACACTTGCCGCTTCCTCTTGCAGTTGTGATCACAGAAGTCTCAGGGAAGAGGGTATGGAAAATAAAGTGTCGGGGGCCTAGGTGACCAAAAGGGGGAGCTGCTTCTAAGGGGGCTTCTTCTTAAGGGGGATGATACCTTTCCATCGTAGAGCCTAGGAGTCTGGAGATGGTGTTCTTTTCGAGGTTTGACTTCTGTCCCAAGAGCTATGTGAACGGCTTTGTAAATGACATGATGTGGTGTGTAAAGATGGTGAAGTTATAACAAGGAATGTAAAATATGGCAAGGAAGCCTCTCTGGAGAAGTGCAGTGCTGCTGGCCTCAGGCCTTGTGGAGCTGGTTAATCTGAGGGTCATTAAAGGAGCCTTTTAGAGTGGAGTGTTCCTGTTGGTCAGTCTGTGCAGGTGTTAGTGATTGTGAGCTTCGGTTTTCCACCTGTCTCAGGTTCTCACCCTACTGGGCAGAGCTGGTGGCTTTGCCCAATTTCATGGGTGAGGAGACTGAAGCTTAGAGAAGTGCAGGATGTGCTGTACAGCTAGTGAGTGGGCTCTGTCTCCAAAAACAAACCTCAATAGAAATTAGAAGTGTTATTTCAAAAAAGTTTTTCATCCTCCATTACAAAGTAAAATCTGGAAGGTCAGGGAGCTTGTGGTCTGGTCCAAGCACCTCAGCCTGTGTTGAGTGAGGGTGTCTCAGTCCAGGGACCTCACGATGTCTTCCTCTTCAGCTGGAGCCGTGAGGATGTCCAGGCAAGGTGGGGCCTGCTCGGAGGGCCCATCTGTGACATTTCATCCTGTTCTCCAGCACGAGTGGGACAGCACAGAGCCTCTTGATTTAGGGCAGACTTTCTCACACCTGCACAGGGGCGAGATATCCCTGTTGTACTCTTCTAGTGGGACTCCGTGTGGTCCTTGGTGTTGGCACTGCAGGGTAAAAGCTTAAAGACGTTTCAACCAGCCCTGAAGTGGTATGGCTGGCTTCTCTTTAAATGCAGTCCTGTCTCTTTTTGTGTAACATTTGTTGCATTGGATTCAGTTTTAATAAAGAAATTCAGGTTTGGTTCAGTGTCTGTTTACATTGTACTAGGGGTTGCACTTCAGTTTGGTTACAGACTGTGTCTCATTCCCGGCTGTGTTGTAATTGTTTCACCCATTTCAGAGGTTCTGAGAGGCTGGCCCTGAAAGTCTTATTACTGTACTTCCTGCACATTCACTTGTTTCGTCTTCACGCACTGCTATGAGGAGAGCACAAGTGTTCCCATTTTACCAGTAGAGAACTGAGGCACAGAAGGGTTATCACCTTGTGAGGATCGAGTGACTGGCTCGTGGTGGGCTCTTGACCAGCGCTGCGCACTGCCAGGAACGTGTGCGACGGGTGTGACGCGTAGACGCTCCCCGCCTGCAGTGTCCTCCGCAGACAGGCGAAGATGGTCCCGTCGTGAGGAGGGTGCGGTGCAGTGGGAGGAGCGAGGGCATGGTGTAAGGAGCGTGTCCGCAGCTAGTCCTGGGGGAAAGTGTGACCCCCACCCACAGAGGATATGGTTCTGGGAGGAGGGCCGGAGGAGCCAGGAGGCCTAGGCATTTCTGTAGACAGGAAGAGCATTGAAGCCGGGGTTTGGTGTGGGCGCCCTCCTCAGGGACCCCATGGATGATGGACGCTGTGGCTTCGAGACTCCTGTTACACTGGCGAGAGCTGTGGTTGCTTCTTGTCATTTGGCTTCCTCCAAGTGCCTTGGTTCCTTGGTGGTTCATGGGTAAGGAGTCTGAGGCCACACCCGTCGTTGTGATGGTGGCGGTGGGAGATGTGCTGATGTATTTGAACTTCATAGAACACTCTTATTACCTTCACTCTGAAGTTGGCTTCCTTGCCTATAAAGTTTGCTAATAAACCTAAGAATTATGCCTGCTTTGCATTTTGCCACTTCAGTGATGAAAATCCTCAACTTCAAAGCTGCTCGGGCATCATTACTCTCCTTCCAGAGTGAGCGTTTTTCTGGACTTCTTACCTACGTGTTTCATTCCTTATTTATATTTTTGAAATGAGAAGCTAGTTATCTTAGAAATTTCTCAGGCTGGGTGCAGTGGCTCACACCTGTAATTCCAGAACTTGGGAAGGCTGGGGGTGGGGGTAGGATCACCCGAGGCCAGGAGTTGGAGACCAGCCTGGGCAACATAGTAAGACCCCGTCTTCACACAAAAAAATTTTGAAGTAAAATTTTCGAGGGGCAGTGCCCACCTATATTTCTAGCTACCAGGAAGGTCTCTAAAAATAATTATCTTTTAAAAAGAAGTTTCTCAGCCAGGCACAGTGGCTCATGCCTGTAATCCTAGCACTCTGGGAGGCTGAGGTGGAAGGATTGTTTGAGACCAGGAATTCGAGACCAGCCTGAGCAAGAGCGAGACCCCGTCTCTACTAAAAATAGAAATTAGCCAAACAACTAAAAATAGAATAATTTAGCTAGGCATGGTGGCGCATGCCTGTAGTCCCAGCTACTCAGGAGGCTGAGGCAGAAGGATTGCTTAAGCCCAGGAATGTGAGGTTGCTGTGAGCTAGGCTGATGCCACGGCACTCTAGCCTGGGCAACAGAGTGAGACTCTGCCTCAAAAAAAAAAAAAGTTTCTCAGTATCCAGATTCTGATACTACAGACTTAATAAATCAATGTGATCCTTGCCCTAATAACATATGCCACATCCCTCTGAAATATACATGGTCCCCAGCTTATGATGGTTCGACTTAATAGTTTTTCAACTTTACGATAGTATGAAAGTGATACATGTCCGATAGAAACATACTTCAAATTTTGAATTTATTTAATTTTTTGAGACAGTCTTGCTCTATTTCCCAGGCTAGAGTGCAGTGGCATCATCATAGCTCCCTGCAACCTCAAACTCCTGGGCTCCAGCGATCCTCCTGCCTCAGCCTCCCGAGTAGCTGGGCCTATAAGTGTGTGCCCCACGCTCAGCTAATTTTTCTATGTTTTTTATAGACAGGGTCTTGCTCTTGCTTAGGCTGGTCTTGAATTCCTGAGCTCAAGCAATCCTCCTGCCTCAGCCTCCCAAAGTGCTAGGATTATAGGCACTGCACCTGGCTCAAATTTTGAATTTTGATCTTTTCCTAGGCCAGGGATATGCACCACAATACTCTGGAGACGTTGGGCAGCTCTTCGTCAGCCAGGGAATCATGAGGATAAACAACTTATGCTCTCCCCCGGCCAGATGACTTTGCCCAGTTGTAGGCTAATTTAATTGTTCTGAGCACATTTAAGGTAGACTTATATAAGCTATTAATACAATGCTTGACAGGTTAGGTATATTAAATGCATTTTCAACTTAATGATGTGATATTTTCAAGTTATGCTGGGTTCTACAAAGAGATACTTATCCAAATTGCTAATTTTAGCTTTGCAGTACCTTAAAAGATGTATGTGCCAAGGCGGGAATAGAAATCACTACTGTTCTCTGACCTCTAGCCTTCATTCAACATATAGACTCAATCCAGAAAGTCTATTCTCAAGAAAAAAGGACGCAGGCACCCATCTTATTTCAATTTACAACGCTGCGGGACAGTAATTCCAATTTTGTTGCTGTTGGAATGTTCTACTGATGTTTGAAACCCTTCCAAGGTATACTGGCTTTGAACTGCTGTAGGAAAGGGGCAGAGCTGGGCCTGGGTCCCCAGCAGCTGAGGATTCTGTCAACAGTGAGCCCTGGGCCACCTGGCATTGTGGACGTGTTCCTTCTGCCTGTGCTGCTGGAGGCACTTGCAAGTTCTTCCCAGCCCTGTGACTGGGAACAAGCTGCATCCGGTTAAGCCTTTGGGGGCAGTAAAATGTATGTGCCTTTGACTGTGGAGTCCTCAACGTTAATGACACCAGCTGACACTGTAGCCCTTTTGTCTGCCAGCCAGCACCCAATGGGGAGTGTTTCTGGGAGATAGCACAGCCACACAGCACGGCTGTCCTGTTAGCCCACCGTATGGGTGAGGGAACAGCCACACTAAGTATGTGACCCAGGAACCCACTGCCTATGAGGACCTGAGCTGGGATTTGAACTCTGACTGCCGGAGGCCAGAGCTTGTGCCCTGCCGGGGGGGACTGTGCACAGCATGGAAACACCTGCAGCGGCATGAGCTGGCAGTCTGTGGTGGGGAGTAACTAGGAATGCGCTAAACAGGGTGCCTAAGTTGCTTATCAACTTCAGTACAGCAGGACGCTTTGAGACCATTAGAGATCTGATGGAGAGCTGTGTTCATGTGGAATGATGGTCCCATTGTCGTGAAGGATAAAGGTGGAGAAGCCACAAGTTATGGTGTCGTTTCTTCTGTCTGTGTGAAGTTGCACGCACAGGCCTTTGCACAAGGACTCTGGAAGGAGATTTCCTGCTCGGTGATGAGGCTTCAGATGATTAGTATATTTTTGTTGTCTTCAGTATTTTTTATAATTAGCATCCATCATTCTGACTGAAAGGTGGGGGCATTGTCAAAAAGTAAATTTAGATGTGGGAGAAGTTCATATAACGTCTTTAGTTTTCGAAAGATGTCCCTGAAGTTTCGGGTGAAGGATGCATGATTTGGCTCCGTCCAGCTGTGGAGGCGGTAGGTGAGACTGTGTTCGAACTTCACTGGAGAGATGCCTTTGCCCTTGCGGCCACCCTGTAGTCCGCAGTGTGCATCTCCCCACCTTGCGGGCCTTGGGCCGCATGCCATGCTGCGGGCTGGTGCTGCCTTTTGGGGACAGTGTGAACCAGGTTCCTATAAACAAGAGGGCACTGGGCCTCTCTAGTTTTTTAATTGAAGCAGTACAGAGTAAGGTGTCACTCAGGCCTCATCAGCACGGCAGGTGCACAGCCTGTCTCTGCAGCCTCCTTAGAAAGTAGGGCTGCGCACCGCTGAAGTGAACACAGGTTCCGGGCCTTGATCTCGGGGCCTCCTGGCACCCAGGCACCTTTGGGGGCTTTGCAGAGGGGTTCATCTCTTAGTTTCCAGGAGTGAGTGCACACCCAGGAGCAGCACCCCATCCCTCTACAGCTATCTGCTCCAAACCAAGAAGTTGGGGTGGGCCGGAACCACCAGTCTTTGGGAGTTCAGTATTTCTTGTCCCTGAAGCATCTGCCTTCATCACAGCATCTGAACCTGCTGCCAAGGTGACGTCTGCAAACCTCAGCACACAGGACGCTTGCTCCATGTTCGTTTCTTCTGTGGCTTCCCTCACCAGCAAAGATGAAGGGAGTGGTTTTATTTCATTTTTTGTCTTGTGGGTTTTAAACATTTTAAGTCTAAAACAAGTAGGTGCTTGAATCTGGTGGCTTTTTTTCCTTTCTTTTCTTGGTTTGGCTCTGAGTTGGCCTCACCCTTGTGTCAGCTGCTGGACGCTAACTCAGCGGCTTAGGATCTGTAAGGCTGAGGAAGTGGGGTACATGCCCCACCCCCACACCCTAGCGGAGCAGCTGCCTGACAGGCCCTCTTGTGTATTCAACTGCGTTTGCTCCAGCAGTGGTGGTGGTGTGGTAGTGCTAAGAACACAGGGTGTGCCGTTTGTTGCAAGAATTTACGCTCATGCTTTCCTTTAGTACTGAAATGCCAGTGGCTCACGCCTGTAATCCCAGCACTTTAGGAGGCCAAGGGAGGAGGATCACTTGAGGCCAGGAGTTCAAAACCAGCCTGGGCAACATAGTGAGACCTCGTCTCTACCAACAAACAAAGAAATGCTATAAATGATCTCTTTTGATATTATTTCATGAAATTATAAAAGTCTGATGGATGGATGTCTTTAATTTCAACAGCTACTCTGACCTATGACACTCTCCGGTTTGCTGAGTTTGAAGATTTCCCTGAGACCTCAGAGCCCGTTTGGATACTGGGTAGAAAATACAGCATTTTCACAGGTATCAGCCACGCTGGAGACCACTCTGCTCTGATTGCTCAATCTGTAAAAAGCATTTTGTGAAAATAGTTATCTGCCAACTCTTCTATAACATGTGACTTACGAACTTAAGGCTTTGTCTGTTTTCTTTTAAACAACCTCCAGAAAAGGACGAGATCTTGTCTGATGTGGCATCTAGACTTTGGTTTACATACAGGAAAAACTTTCCAGCTATTGGTAAGTACCCCATTTTGTTACAATGTGTAGCAAAATATACGTGTGTTAAGGTGGAAAATTTATGCTTACTGTTTTGACTTCGATATGCCAGATACTTTGTTTTAATCCTCACAGCAACCCTGGCTAAGTTAATCCCTAAGGTCTCACTCCTAGTAGTGGCAGAGCTGGAATCCAAACCCAGGCTCCTGATTCTACCTAGGGCAGTGTTTTTTCAACTGCAAGTCACAGCTTATTACTGGACCTGGAACCAATATCACAAATTATGACTCACACTTTTCAAAATGTAGAACAGAACAAAATATGCAACAGAATGTGTTTGCCCCAGTAAGACAGCATGTTGCTTCAGGAGATTTTAGTTTCTGTTTACATATCTGGATATGTGTCCTAGGTCACGGCTGTACCATGTGTTTCTTACTGTAGGTCAAGAATGTTTAGAAGCCATTCTCTATCCATCATCTTTTCTAGTATGTTCTACACTTAGCTGTGGGGAGGTTTGAAGGGCAAGGTAGCTGTGACATGTTGTCACTTGACACTAAAGTGTATTCCGTTAACGAGATTCCTCATCGCTGTATACGCTGGGGGTGGCCAGAGGATGGGGACCAGGCTGACTCTACACCTCCCCAGTGGCTGAGTCATGCTCTTCAGTTCTTCTCCTAGTTGTGGTTTCATTCATTCTCCAAAGTGAAGTGGAAGTAAAATAGCCACATTGGCTTGATATCTGAGAACACTGAAATGTAGGGAGAGAAGGTGCATGATCCCTTTCAGTTGACATTTAATGGTGCTGTTTGGCAGGTGTGCCTTGGAAATAGTTGTTCATTCCACAGATACTTACTTCATACCTGCTCTGAGCCTGCCCCTGCTCAGCCCTGGATGCAGGTTAGTCCCCAGCCTCTATCTTCTTTGAAGCAACTCTGCCACGGTGCTTGGTAGGAAAACAGGGCTAGAGAGAAGCTGTACCTTGGCAGAGGCATTGTGGAGGAGCTGCAGAGGCAGACAAAGCACCCCGTTGTGGTTCTAGAGGCTGAGTATGGTGCATTTCCTTCCATAGCTCTGCAGAGATTATTTGGTGAGGTTTTTTAAATTAATTGTATTTTTTTGTTTGTTTGTTTTTTTAAAGAGATGGGAGTCCTGCTATGTTGCCCAGGCTGACCTCGAACTCCTGGGCTCAAGCGATCCTCCTGCCTCAGCCTCCCAAGTAGCAGGGCCTGCTATGCCTGGCTCTGAGAAATGGTTTGTTTTTGTCAGAAGTGAAGGGAGGGTAATGACAGGCACTGCTGAGGGGGTTGCGTGTGTGTGTGTGTGTGCCAGCCACTGTGCCCCAGGAGGTAGCGTGGGTTGTTTTCCCCAGTGTGTGGGAGGAGGTGCCAGGGGCTCGCAGGTGGGTAGAGTGTGGGCCAGGACTGCAGCCCTTGTGGCCCGACCCCTGAATCCTGCTCCTCACACGGTGTGCAGTCACCTGGCCCGCGCGCACGGGTGGTCTCCCGCTCCCCGGTGCTGGCTGCACGGTGCCGTTCCACTGGCCTCCTGCTGTCACTGGCAGGGCGCCTCCCAGATGTCTGTTACCTTACCCACGTTCCACAGCGCACACCGTCGGTCTGGGCCCCGGTGGGTGAGGTGGCAGGGCCCAGGTCTGTGCACTTAGAGGCCTGAGTCACCGACCACTCGGCCTGGCCTCGCCTGCACTCTCAGCAACACGAGGTGTCGTCACGCCTTGGATCTTTGCCTTTCTGGCAGTTGGAAAATGATTCTTCATGTTTAACTTTGCATTTTCTGGATCACTCATGAGGGTCAGCGTCTCTGTCTGTCTGCCTGACATTCCAGATGCTCCATGACTGCCTTGTTCCCGTGTTTTGTCCGTTTCGAGGAGGCAGTCAGGATGCTTCCCTCCCCAGCAGGGGGGCCGCAGCATTATTGAGTCCTCAGGCAGAGCTGGTGGGCAGCGGTGCCCGTGCCTCGGCGTGGGGCCGGCCCCGCGCTTCCTGCGGTGGGCTCTCGGTCTCTGGCGGGCCGTCTGACCATGAGCACTGTCTCTCTGCCACGACAGGGGGGACAGGCCCCACCTCGGACACAGGCTGGGGCTGCATGCTGCGGTGTGGACAGATGATCTTCGCCCAGGCCCTGGTGTGCCGGCACTTAGGTCGAGGTGAGTCACGGCTTGGGGGTGGGCGCACGGCCAGTGTTCTTAGGAAGCAAAGAGGACTGAGGGGAAGGGTTGTTTCAAGCACATCATCTGTGTGAAACACGGATGAGAGTCTGGGGTTTCCCTGAGTAATGACCCATTTGTATTTATTTATTTATGTATGTATGTATTTATTTATTTATTTTTTGAGACAGAGTCTCACTTTGTTGCCCAGGCTAGAGTGAGTGCTGTGGCGTCAGCCTAGCTCACAGCAACCTCAATCTCCTGGGTTCCAAGCAGTCCTCCTGTCATGCCAGCCTCTGAGGTAGCTGGGACTAGACAGGCATGGCGCCCCATGCCGGGGCTAATTTTTTCTATATATACTATTAGTTGCCACATTAATTTCTTTCTATTATAGTAGAGACGGGGTCTCCGCTCTTGCTTCAGGCTGTTTCCGCACACCATCCTGACCTCGAGCAGATCCGCCCGCCTCTGGCCAGTCCAGCAGTGCTAGATAGACAGGCGTGAGCCACATTGCCAGCCCCCATTTGTATTGATTGATTAAAAATCTTGACTTTCAGGCCAGGCCACGGTGGTTCGTCCTGTCAACCTGGCACTCCCTGGAGTCTAGAGGCGGGAGGATTACTGAGCCTCAGTGAGTTCCGAGACCACCTGAAACAAGAGTGAAGACCGCGTCATCTACTATAAAGTAGAAAGAAATTAGCCCAAACAACTGAAAAATAGAAAAAATTAGCCCCCGGGCGCATATGGGTGCGGGCCGTGCCTGTAGTCCCAGCTACCTGGGAGGCTGAGCAGGAGGCTCACTTGAGCCCAGGAGTTTGAGGTTGCTGTGAGCTAGGCTGACACCTTGGCACTCTAGCCTAGGCAAGAGAGTGAGACTCTGTCTCAACAACAACAACAACAAAAATCTGACTTCAAAGAATGCTAGTGTTTATTTTTTTAGAAATTACCTTTAAACCACTGAAACTATTTTCTGGTTTTTGTATGGATTTGTTTTGATGAGTTGGCATATGTATATTTGAAATCCTGGAGAATTTGGCTTTTAACTTTAGAAAGATTCAAAAAAGGTTTGGATACCATCTGTATCTTGAGTGTTTTGTTAAAAGTGCAGACTTGTTTCTCTTGTTTATGGTAGGACTGACCTGTATTTTTTTCCCAATAGATTGGAGGTGGACACAGCGCAAGAGGCAGCCAGACAGCTACTTCAGTGTCCTCAACGCTTTCCTTGACAGGAAGGACAGTTACTACTCCATTCACCAGATAGGTGGGAGACTGCACCGTGTGGCCCGCCCTGGGTGTTGAGAAAGGGCAGAGGCATTGGGCTTCCTGGAGAGCTCCTCTGGTGTTGTGTGTGCAGCATGAGGCTGCAGGTCAAACTGGCCTCTGACTGCCAGGGGGCTGCTGCGGGTGGTCCAGTGCCAGCTCAGACCCCAGGCCTCACTCTCCCTGCCCCCACCCCTGCTGCCTGTGTGGCCTTCTGTGTCTTGTCAGAGCATCTGAGCCTTGTCAGCTCAGCTTGGAGGGAAGGCAGTGAAGCCCAGCAGGACTTTGTTCCAGGCAAGCCCAGCTTTTGAGCAGTATGTCCTCACTTACAGAAGGCAGTAAAAGTATAGTCCCACATGACTTAAACATCAGATCGTTTCATTTCCTCAGTTCCCCCGTTTAAGTTCTTAATGAAGGACAAACCTTGCGATGTTGCCTGTCCCTTTCCTGACTCCCTCTTAGAGGATGTGTCTCTGCATCTTGTTGGCTCATCCCTGTCTGAAGGCAGGGCAGGGTGTGGCTGTCCAGGCCTTCCTGTGAAGTGTTTCCTGGTGCCATATGCCACCAGAGGTAGGGGGTGGGGACTGGCGGGATGACTGGGGGTGGGTCTGTGTCACTAATCGAGATCTGTTCCCCACAGCACAAATGGGAGTCGGTGAAGGCAAGTCTATAGGCCAGTGGTACGGGCCGAACACCGTCGCCCAGGTCCTCAAGTATGTACCAAGCTTCAACCCTTCCGTTTCTTTGGGGACAGCATGAGTGTTCCTTGGGGGTTTAAATTCTCCCTGAGCCTGTATTGCTAAAGAAAATAAGAGGTCCCTATTCTTAAGGGCCCTCGGGAAGTTCCTCAGAGGTGAGCAGGCCAAGGCCTTGTGCATCAGCACTTGTGTTTTCCCATAAAATGAACACCTTAATCCAGATCACAGCCATTGGATCAGGCCCTTGTCTGCCTCATGGGTCCCTCTGTAGCAGTGGCTTCTCAGGGTGTAGGAAGGTGAAGCTGCTCTGGCCACTGCAGTTTGTGGGGAAGGGCAGCCATCCACACAGGTGCCATGGCCCCTCCACCGCTGCCCGCTTATCAGAGTCGGTGTCCCCTGGTGTTCTGGCCCTCTTCCTCACGTTCTTTGCAACTCCACTGTAACCTCCCTCCCTGCCCACGTCGTTGGGGTCTGCCTGGACTCCACTTTCTGTAAGTCCCTCCGTCGTCCTTTCCCCACGTGATGAATGTCAGAAAGCTTCACCTGCACCGCCTTCCTCTGGCACCTCACTTGTTCCGTAAGGCAGCAGTTCCTCATCCTTTTTGTCACCAGGGACCAGTTTCATGAAAGACAATTTTTCCACCTACAAGGGTTGGGGGGGGGTGGTTTCTGGATGATTCAAGCACATCACATTTATTGTGCACTTTATTTCTGTTATTATTACATTGTCATTTGCCATTCAGTGATAGGATTTTGGTGTGAGTTGGCAAGTAATTGATTTATTATGATCTCCTTGCAGTCAAATCTCTCTGCTAAGGATAATCTGCATCTGCAGCCGCTCCCCAGCACTAGCATCACCGCCTCGGCTCCACCTCAGGTCACCAGGCAACAGATTCTCATAAGGAGCAACCTAGGTCCCTCGCTTGCACAATTTACAATTTAATTTATTATGGTTCTCCTATGAGAATCTGATGCTACCACTGATCTGACAGGAGGCGGAGCTAGGCGGTGATGCGAGTGCTGGGGAGCGGCTGTAAATGCAGGTGAAATTTCACTCGCTCACCTGCTGCTCACCTCCTGCTGTGTGGCCTGGGGTGTTGGGGACTGTAAGGTGTTTGCCTTACGGTCAAACGCCACTCCTGCCCCCAGGACCATGAATTCCTCTGAAATGGCTCTTCCTGCAATTGCCAGGAACTCAGATGTGGTTTCAGGTCACCTGCCACTTTTCAGTCCATTTGACTTGTCTGTGGCTGTGTGCCCTGGCGTCCCAACATTTCTGGGGAGGCCAGTTCTGGGCTGGTGCCTCCAGGTCTTGCCCGCTCGGGGCCTCCTCCCTGATAGGCTGAGGACCAACAACTCTCAAGTCTGTCACCAGCTGAGACTTTGGCTCTAAGTCCTGCCGGTGCTTCTGCCTGCTCTGTGTCCCCACTCGAAGCCCCTCACGTTGCCCTTCCAGGCACTCAGGTCAACATCTGGGATCTTTCTAGAGTCCTCTCTTTCAACATGCCCATCAGGAAGTATCTCTTCACTCCCCACCCTGGTCCATGCCCATTTCTTGTCTTCTTGTCAGTCTTCTCTCTTTGCCAGCCTGAAGCCTCGTTTTCAAGAGGCAGCAGAGCCATTTTTATAAAATACGTCAGCTGTCACTCCCCTGCCCTGAGCAGTCCTGGCACTTGCCAGCTGGCTTGCAGCAGATGTGCACTGCCCGGCCTCCCCGGCACCACACACCTTGTGTTCCTTGGACATGCGCTGCACCCTTGGCCAGGCATCTCCCCCAGCACCCTCATGGGTGGCTCCCCTGCCCCGGCCCTGCTGTATTCTCTGCAGCACTCGCAACCTGCCCTGTGTGGTTCCTTCTGTCTGCTGCCCCTAGAGTGCCAGCCTTACAGGTGTGTCAGTGTGTCCTCCACACAGCGAGTGGGCTTCAGAGAGCAGGGAGGCGGTCGGTGGAACAGATTGTTCTCCCAGCAGCTCCTGTGGGCTTCCCGTTGGGAAGGTCTCTGCGTGGTCACCCAGTGTCTCCCAGCACAAGTCCCTCATTCTGTCCCTGGACATACCAGGTCCTCAGTATCTTGGGGCCTTGGCAAGAGCCGTGCCTGTATCTGGAACATTCCTCCTTGCTCTTCTGTTCTTTCACTTTCATTTACATCCTCTGACCCCACCTCCACAGCACCCAGGATTAGAGTCCTGCCAGGCTTTGGCTACAGAGTCTGCTCTTCCTCAGAACCATGTCTCTCTGTCCATAGCTCCTCCTCACTGTCCTTTACAGTGGTGCTCTCACGGGGCTACACGTTCTGGACTGGAGCTCCCTGGTTGTTAGCTCAGGGTGTTTGGTGCAGGGGAGACCAGAGCAGGGATGAGGTGCTGGGGGTGTGTGTGCATGATAAGGTTAGGCTGGGCCTGCCTCACAGGTGTTTGTTTTTAATTAAAAAAAAAAAAAAAAAGTTTTGGAGGGGGGCACGGGCAATATATGTAACCTTAACACTTGTACCCCCATAATACACTAAAATAAAAAACTTTCTTCTATTTCCTAATGATGAGATTTTTTTTCTTATTTATTTATTTTTAAGACAGGGTCTCCCTGTGTTGCCCAGGCTAGTCTCAAACACCTAGGCTCAAGTGATCCTCCTGCCCCAGTCTCCCCCCAAGTAGCAGGGATTACAGGCTCACACCATTGTGCCTGGAGAAACAGTATCTAAGGACTGGGTTCATGTTCTAGCCCTGCCTCCGTGTGTCAATGAGATCAGGAATTGGGTGCATGTGAGCCTCTTGTGCACTCTCTCTGTACGTGCAGCTTGGGTGGGGGTGGTGGAAGGAACACCAGGCCCAGGTGAGAAGAAACAGGTTCCAGCCTCAACGTTCTTCCCATCTGTGGCCTTGGACATACCCCTTGACCTTCTGAGTCTTGGTCTTCTCGTTCAAGAAGCAGCTCCAAGCGCTCTGCCCTGCACGCGTCACTGTCAGAGATGAAATGTCTTCCCGTTGTCAAAAAGCTTATGGGCATGTTCTCCTCCCACTTTCCATAGGAAGCTTGCTGTCTTCGACACGTGGAGCTCCCTGGCAGTTCACATAGCGATGGACAACACTGTGGTGATGGAGGAAATCAGTAAGTGGTTCAGGGCTTCACTTGACAAGAAAGCAGGAGTTGTGGGTGATCCCGTTCTTCCTGGGCTGAGCCCGCAAGGGAGCCTCAGTGAGTGTCCTCGGTCTCCTGGCGCAGTGCTGATGCTCCGCTGGGCCTGGGGGCAGGCCAGACGCCTGGCGACCTCACTCTCACGCCATGTAGACCAGGCTAAGAGAGGAGGGCCCAGATTCTCTCCAGAGGTGAGTTATTTAGTACCCATGTCATTTTGTGTCTTCATTACAAATACAGCATTTAACTACACTCACACAGGAATTCTGATTAAATTCCTTTGGATGCGTTAATATACCACAAAGAAATGCAGAACTACTCTTTAGCTGCACCATCTCCAGCAAAGGTGTATCATGAAGGAAGAACATTGTTCTGTTCAACTTTTTGGAAGAAAGGTCCACTAGAAACATGAAGGAACCCAGGCATGCTAAAGTTCACATGCAGGAGGGAAACGATGGCTTAGTTTTAACGAGGCGCGAGTGCTGATGCGACGCTGGGGCCTGGGGGAGGCCAGACGGGGCCTGGCCGACCTCACCTCTCAACGCCACCCGTGTAGACCAGGCTAAGGAGGAGGGCCAGATTCTCTCCAGGAAGGTGATTTTTTTTGTTTGATCTCATTGTATTTTGTGTTCATTACCAATACCAGCACTTTTTCATGTTTCTGGTTAATTCGCTTGGTGCGTTGGCTATCCAGCAACAGAAATGCAGGGAACCTACTGTTTAGGCTGAACAGCTCTCACGCAAGGTTGTATATCAGAAGGCATCGAACTCGTCTTGTTCAAGACTTCTTTGGAAAAGGGTCGACTAGAACGATGACACGCCGAACCCCAGGCCAGTGCTGAAAGTCAGCATGCAGGGATGGGTGAACATGGCTTAGTTTTACGGAGGCGGTGCCCATGAGTGAGCTCCAAATTCATACCTTGCATGCCAAGATGCAGCCAGGCTGACAGCACGCCACTGGCGGTCCCGGCACATTCAGCAGCACCTTTTTCCCGAGGAATTTCTCTCAAAGTGTTCAACCCCCCTTTTTTGTCTTTGAGACAGGTCTCGCTTTTTAGTTTGCCAGGGCTAGAGTGAGTGCGTGGGCGTCAGCCTAGGCTCACGCAACTCAAACTCCTGGGATCAAGCGGATCCTTCTGGCTCAGCTCTCCCGAGTAGTTGGAACTTACAGCAGTCGGATACCATGGCCGCGCTAATTTTTCTCTTCATATGTATGCGTGCTGGCATGATGTCTTCTCATATTTATAGTAGGAGACGGCTCTTGCTCATTGCCAGGCTGGTTCGGAATCCCGAGCACGAGCAATCTGCCCCCACCTCCGCCCAGCATGCCTGTAGAATACAGGCTGACCACCCGATGCCTGGGCCATCACCCAATTTCATTGACGGTTGTACGGTGTAGTATTGGCGCGTTGAATCCAGTTTACTTAAGAAGAGCAGATCAGAGAAGACTTGCCTAAAGAGCCATGGTTTGCAGTGGAGTGTGGGTCTTGCAGCAGTGCTGCGGTCGTGGAGTGCTACGCATGTGTGCCAACTGGCTGCAGACATGTGACTCCCTGGCCGAGTGATTGGGCCTCTTCCAGCGCGTTTCTTCACCCCTCGGACTTTCTGGGGATGTTGTGGCTTGTTCCAGGAGCGGCACAGGGACATGGCTGTCCACACAGGGGCAGCACTGACTTCTACAGCTTGAAACTCTGTTGCATAGCGCTTTTCCTTTGAATAATTCTGTTCCCAGGCTGTTGATCGACACTAGGACCCATAAAAGGAGCGAGCTGCTGTAGTTGCTTTCTGCCTTCTCTGTCTGTTTGTTTTTTTTCGTCTTTTATATTTGTTTGTTATTGTATATTGTAGATTGTCATATTTAGTTTTATTGTTTTATTTTTTTATTTTTTTTTTTTCGTGTTTATATTCTATTGCCTCTGAAAAGTTCTTTTGTTTTCATTTTTTCTCTTGATTGTTTTTTTTATTTATTTATTTATTATATTTTTTCTCTTGCGATGCTAGAGTTCTTTTTTGATAACAACCTTATTATTTTTTTTTTTTTTTTCTTGTATACAATATTTATCTTATTTGTACTTTTTTTACCTTATTTATTTCCTCGTCCTGTTTCTGTCTGTTGTGTTTATTTGTACTGTTTTTTGTATCTTGTGCCTTTTTTTTTCTTTTTTGTTTTTTGTTTTTTATATTTTTTTTTTTTTCATTTTTGTGTTTTGTTGTGTTTTTTTCTTTTATTGTTCCTTCTTGTCTTCCCTGTGTTAGGTTTGTTCTGTGTTTTTGTGTTGTGTTTATGTGACAGGGAGTGAGGGACGGCTGTCTTTGTATCTCTTTTTTGTGTTTTTTTGCACTGGTGCGATTTGCTGTGGTGTGTGTGTGTTTGATTTGTGGACTCTCTGTTGTCCTCTCTGTGGTTTTGTTTTGTTTTATCTTGCACTGTGAACTGTGACTTTTTGTTGTTTCTGTCAGAGTAGGAGGTGGTCGTGCTGCTGCGTATTTGGTTTTTTGATGTGTTTCTTTTGTTCCGCTCGTGTGTGTATTGTGTGTGTTTTTTTTTTTTCGTGTGTTTTGTTTCTGCTATCTCTATCTTTTTGTATCTTCTGCCTCAGTTCTATGTGTGGTCGATTTGTTCAGTCTTCTTCTGTTTTTTTGTTTTTTGTGGGTGTTGTTTTTCTTTTTTATTAGTTGCAATTAGTTTTTTTTTTTTTTTTTATTTTATAGTAGAGACGGTCTCGGCTCTTGCTCAGGCTGCGGTTGATCGAACTCTGACCTCGGAGAATGCGCGCCTCGGCTCGCTCCAGAGAGTAGACTACAGGCGTGCGCCACCGGCGCCGGCCTGCTTTTTGTTTTTGAGATGCGGATCCGTACGTGTGCCTAGGCTTGAGTGCATGGGTTGTGTACGGCCTCACTGCAACGCTCGGAGACCTGGCGGGGCTGTCAAGCGTATTCCGTCACGCTTCTCATAGCCGCAGCCGAATGGAGTGGACTACAG